TATTATTGCCTTTACTTCCAAACTTACTAACAAACACACCATCACTAGTGAAGACTGATATACGATGATTGTCCCTTTCACTAACATACACTAGACCAGTAGCTGCAGTGTCTATTGTTATACCAAATGGACTATTAAGCTGTCCAGGACCAGATCCTTCAGTACCAAACTGGCCCACAAACTTTCCATCTGGAGAGAACTTCTGAATGCGATCATTATTACTATCAGCAACATACACTAATCCTTGACTGTCAATAGCAATGTCACGTGGATACTGAAACTGTCCATTAGCTGATCCTTCACTACCAAATGAATGAGAGAAGGTTAGATCAGGATTCAAGACTTGTATACGATGATTATCCCTATCAGCAATATAAACCTGTCCTGTTATAGGAGAAATGGCTATACCACGAGGAGCATTGAATTGTAGTGGTCCACTGCCCTTCTCACCAACTGATGCTATAAGGTATCCATCCATGCTTATCTTCTGGATCCTGTGACTATCAGATACAAGAATGAATTTGTCTGGAGTGATGGTTACACCATGAGGAGAAGAAAACTCAACATTACCACTTCCTCCTTCCCCTCCTAATGATTTCAACTTCTTTCCTTCTCTATCCAGTATTGTTACACAGTTACCATTAGTCTCAGTTATTACAACATGATTATCATCACTTACAGCAACTCCCCAGGGACCCTTAAGCTCAGTTATAGTACGTACTGGAGTGATGTTATCAAGGTAAGGATTGATAGGGATGACTAGTGAGGTATCCTCAAGGTGTACGTCATATACTTGTACTTTTACTGTATGAGTACCACTGGTTGAAGGCTTACACTGTATCCTATACACTCCAGGATCAGTGCTGGTGGTAGTGACTGTAGTGTGAATGGGTTGATCACCTTTACCAAGTGGTACTAGACTACACCTCAGAGAAGAGACGGGACTACACAAAATAGATGAATCTGGTGCCTCCATTGATAGTGAAAATGAAACTGTTTTGCCAGCAGGTGTAATATGATCAATCTTCTTCACTCTACACTGCTGTACTGGGACAACATTTCCAATGTGATGTAGCGATTTGATATCTTTACTCAATACAAAGTCGGCCTTTTCCTTTGGATGTAACTCCTCCACATTGATCCCTCCAGTAACTTCACTCACGCGCTCCACCATCTGTTTCTTAGACCTCAGGACTTGTTGAGGACTGCCTGTCTTCAGACTCTGTTCCACATAATCCTCAACATCCTCCAGAACACTCAAACTTATTTCTGCTGATTTCATTTGCTCTGACAGCACCTTTAGTTTACCATCAATGACCCTCTTTGCCTGCTTAGTCAGTTTCCTCTCTGACTCACGAAGAACATTCATCATTTCCTCTACCATTTCATGTATTTCTTCTAAGACTCCTTCTCCTCTCTCTCTGATCTCACCCTCTCTCTCTGCTAGAGTAGACAGGACCTTCTTGAGTCCTTTAATTTTCCCTTTTAACGGATTAAGAGATTTCTCCAGTGCTTCTTTGTGTTTTGTGAAACTGTCAGTAACTAACCCACATTCATGATGTTTATGATCACGATATGAGCAATTAACACAAATTACTGTATTACATGTTTCACAGAATAGCTCCAAAGACTTTCCATGATCACTACATGTGGCCTCTTGAGGATTAGGCAAAACTATTGTCTTCTTCAGTAAACTTTGCATCTCTTTGAGGTTGTTGAGGTGGAATGCTACAGGAAAGGCTCCTGCTCCTTCTTCTGGTAACTCTGTACAATGACGACAAGTGGGACAAGAGAGGTAATAGGTCTCATTCTTCTTATCCAGAGGTAATCCCTCCAGACAGTGCTCACAGAATGAATGTAGACAAGGTAAAGTCTTAGGGTTGGTATAGTGGTCAAGACACACAGGACAGGTAAGCTGTTCCTCCAGTTTGAGGAGACCAGGAGAAGATGAAGATGGTTTGGTTGCCATTTCAAGAAAAGAATAGAATTGTGTATGTAAAGCAAGAATGAAAAATGAAGAGAGATAAAGGTAGAAGACGGTAAATGAAGATAGAGCAAGAACGAACGATAAGAAAATGAAGAAGTTGGAATCAACGAGAATGAAAAGAAGAAGGGAAGGCAGCTAAAGAAGGTCAACTAGACACAAAAAGTGGGTGTTACCTTAAATATATTCATAGGTTTTGTGACTAAAGGAAGTTATGACAGTACATAATGAATACTGGCTATACCATAGCAACCAGTGGGATATTACACACATTATAATACATAGAAGGAGAGATAGAAAATTAATAAGTACTAATTACTAGTTAGAGTAGGAGCGTTTACATTTACTTACTTTCCTCCTCCAAACAGGTTGAGCTGATCCTGATACTGTACTATAGAACTCAGTACAGTATTGATAGACTCATTGTACTGTACAGTGTTGGGTGATGTAATGTATAATAATGAGCAGACTTGACAAGGATCTAGAGAAATAGATACATGTACATGTAAATTGAACATTCAATATGTGCATCAGAATAAGTACTTTCCTAGCAAAACACTAATTACTTCTATAGTACAGGGACTTTGACCTGATTTTTGAGTACACTGTACAGTACATTAGATGCTAAGCTACATGTATACCTTTACTGCTTATCAATGGTATATCAAGTCTATTCTTAATAGGAGCTAGTACAGTCCATAGAGTGGCATCAGACTCTTCCAATATCAACTGAATGATAGCATCATCTTTATAACTCTTCACTTCTCTTCCTCTTCCTTCTCTTTTTGAATCTTCTGATACAATCTCTTCATCCAGCTCTGGCTTATAATGTTCCAATAGATGAGAGAGTGAGAGAAGAGAAATGAACTGATCAGAACACCTGTGGGAGAGAGAGATTAACATGAATTTGTAAAAGATAGTATTAATGTAGATGTAGAAAAACAGATTAACATAAAAGCTATTAAAGGTATTATTTTATGTTCAATTTGTGCTTTTCTTGTATTATATGTGTGCAGTGTACATGTACATGTATTAAAATAAAATACAAATTAATTATTAATATCTTATTTGTGGTAGAATATCATTAATGCTCACCTTTTCAATAATGATTGGATTGTTGGTAAAGCCGAACACTTTCTTGATTGAACTAGCAACTTTAATGAAGACCTAACCACAGGCAGTATAAGGGAAGACTAGGAGAGAGAGAGAGAGAGAGAGAGAGAGAGAGAGAGAGAGAGAGAGAGAGAGAATACATTAATAGTGCATACTAATTTTAAAAAAATTTAGCAATTAAGGAATCTTTAAAAGTTAAACACTAAATTAAAAAGCAATTCATAAATTAATAACATCATTTACAATGCAATTAAAATACTAAAAATATACTCAATAATATACATGTACACATAAAAACTAAAATTAATAAACACAATTAAAAAAGTGACATTAACTTACTAATAAAGATTCCTCTAAAGATTCTAAAATCACGATGCTCAATAAAGATGTGACCATACCCATTAACCATACCTCCTCATTAACATCCTCCTCTCTATGTCCACCTTCAGGTAACCATAGCAACAACACATCAACCAACGGGTATCCATCCAGCCCTTCTCCAACGAGATGCTGTAGAGAGGGAAGATCACATGAGCCGAGAGAAGGGAGGAGAAAGAGAGAGAGGGAGAGAGGGAGGGAGGAGCTGAGGGAGAGAGGGGAGAGAGAGGGGGAGAAGTAGAGGTCGCCACGGCAACACTGGAGCAGCAACTGAGGTGTGATGTAATTAGTCTAAAAAAGAAATTAATTTTAAGAACCAAAAAATAAAATACATGTACAATTGTATGCGTAAATAAATAAATAAATAAATAAATAATAAATATAAAAAAATGTTATACCGTATAGCGGAATATTTTCGTGGCCCAAAATTTTCGCGGATTTCACGTTTTTTCAAAACCCACGAAAATAAAATCCGCGAAAATTGATTTTATATGGTTTAAGATGGCCGAATTGTAGAAAACCACAAAAATTAAAACCACGAAATTGATTTTTGGAAAAATCCACGAAAATTTTGGGCCACGAAAATTTTCCGCTATACGGTAGTTGTACTTTGTCTTTCATTGCTTTGTCTAGGGTAGGTTGGAAGAGGGTCCATGATGAGGAGAGAAGAGAAGAATGGAGAGACTGGAATACAACACCATGAAACAATACACTAAAATAAAACAATAATAATAATAATAATTATTATTATTATTATTATTATTATTATTATCCCAGTTCATCCTTATCTCACTCGATTTCTTCCAATTGATACCTATCTACATGTACTTTTGAACTTTAAAATGTACAGATCCTCACTAAATAAGACTATAGTAGTCTTCTCTCCCTCCCTCCCTCCCTCTCTCTCTCCCCTACTTACTTTGTTATATCACTATTATTATTATCATTATTATCATTGATAGAGTCCATTATGATACCAGCTGCATTATTCAAATATTTATTAATATCGTTAGAAGAGGAATAACAGTCAACAAGATGACGATAAGTGCTCACTACTGACACACACAATTCAATATCTAACAACAAAAAATAAATAATAAATTTATAATGTACTTGTACATGTACCTGTTGCTTTCAATAGCCATTTTAATAAATATGATAACAGCCTGTCCATTTCATCCAAACATAACTATAGTATGAATCAAAAATATAATACATACATTAAAATTAAGAGCTTTAACCACTAAAAATTTGACAATTATATGTACATGTATTTTATTAAAATTTATCCTCCAAAATTACTACAATAGGCTGTAGCTATACAGTAATTACATGTATAATAGTACATGTTGTACATGTACATGTATATACATGTACTTACAGAAATTGATTTTGAGTTCATTAATGAAAACAGTTTCAACAGCTGGAACTTTTCCCTCCTTTTATCCATAGAACCAGCCACACCCTCACCCTCTTCTCTCTCACTCACTGATAGTAGATCAACCAACCAGTGGATGATATCAGTAAAGAGGAGAGACTGGGAGGAGAGAGAGGGAGAGAGGAAGAGAGAGTGGAGGAAGGAGGAGTAGTGAGGGTTGGTAAGGGAGGAGGAGGTGGGGAGAAGAGAGGAATGTAGCTGAGTGGAGATGTAAGTGAAGTCAGTGTCATGATGATGGATGGAGAGCTAGAGGGAGAGAGAGAAGGAGGGAGAGGGAGGG